TTTAATCAATGGGGCCAAAGGGGAGAAAAAAGTATGCTTTGTATTGAAGGAGATGTTTTAGCATTCACCAAACATCTCTCTTTCGTCCTTGATTGCAGAGTCAATTGATTGTCCCCACAAGGTACAGAATTATGAGCAAATTTAGCCTGCAAGCGAATCTGGGTCTACATGGTAGGCACTGTCTTTATCCCTTACACCACGGAAGCTTACCAGAAAAGAACAACAGAACAATCAAAAGGTAAATTTTGCACGCTTTCCTAACAAAGACTGGTGATGAAGGGATAGAGAATAGGGTACTAATTAATCCCTTTCTGGGATCCTTTATGTTCCATGAGCCTCGGTAGCAAATAGATTCAACTTCGTCCAGCTGGGAGCTTTTTAGATAGAGTAGCCATTGCACAGATCAGTGCTCTTCCTCGCAGACAAGTGCGGTGCCAGTAAAGCGACTCCAGGATGATGGTAGAAGTACGGGCGAAATCCTGTCTGATTAACCCCGAAAATTCACAACTTGCCACCGTATACATCACCTCCGACCACACCATCCGTGCTCGAAGGAGAATTCCATACTCAAGTCGAGAAAAGGGAACTTACCTAGTGGAAGGGACCTCCTGAGGAAGCAAACCGACATGCATTTTGCATCGAAGGACATGCCCAGGCCGATCTAGCATGGCCTTCCTCGAGGCACAGTTAGCACGGCATTGGTCCGATACGCCCCCTCGCGGTCGTTCTCGCGTGTTGATGTCTCTTTAGACGTTTTATGAGAGCGATGCTTTGAGCGCTTCCAATGAGTGCTGTACATCGATGAGAGCTCGCATAATGCGCAATTCAAACGAGGCAAAGAGTGTTCTCCATTTTCTGGGTCATGTCGTTTTTCTTAGTTCGTTGTCCTTCTTTCGTTACAGTCAAGTACATTCTTTCAAATATTCCTCGATGGATTGCAGTTTGGTCGTTGTAATCCTGCCTAAAGGGCAAATTTCGCGACTCAGGGTTTCACTGCGGGCAACTAAGGAGCCCTTACATGTGTAGAAGTGCTGGTTGTCGTCTGCAAGTGCATAAGGTAATGCTGTCACCTTTCTACTATTCGGAGAGCTTTCTACTTAGGTACCAAGCGCCATATGAACTTCTTGAACAGAACTCCGAACTTTTGATACTATGTCCCGACCGACCGTTTGATGTAGTTCGGTCGTCTTGCGTCGCCACGTTGATCTGCTATGCTCTCTCTTCTCGGACTTCTCTACCACTCTCCGCGCTCACATTATCTCTCATCTCCCTGCCTGTCTTTTGAACTTCTCCACAGCATGGAGCAAAATGCTCGTATTTCCTGTGTATTTCAGGATTTTCTTTCCTTTTTTCTCCACTGGCGGTCCACCTCCCATCCCTACTTTCACATTTGAGTGGAATCACCCCATCAATTTAATCCTGATTCTTGCCTTTAAATGGGCCCACCAGAACAGCTGCATTAGCCATTCCACTAGAGGACAGCAAAAGGAACAACATTTTCATCATATTTGTGCGATTCCTTAGAATTCGTTTTTCTTTTGAACGTACAAAAACATCATTTTGTAAACATTTATTCATTTTTTTACTGACCTCTTGTTGGAGGATCGTACAAAGTGATTTTCAGTATTCATTTTGACCTGAACCATTAATTACCGGTGTAAGAAGGATTTTCAGAAACGAAATCGTCGGAAGAAACTGGTGAATCCCTCGAAAGGATCGGTCCATTTCTCACTCTCAGCTGCACACGTAGCACAGCAGTGTCGTCGGCCGAAATAGCCGCAGTCAAGCATTCCCACTCGGGCCATCGTTCCACAGAACGAACCAAGCGAATCCACACATCGCCCTGAAACTCACAGGAATTTTTGCTGGTGTAATCAATTCTTGTTCCTGTTTTCATCTCGGTCCTGCAAAATGGAAGAACCACCCCTGTCTGGCCTTCTAACACATTCGACCTATTGATAGAAGGGATTCTAAACGCTGCTCCAGAAAAATGCCACAGAAAGTTTGAAAACGCTCCCAGCAGGTCTTTCTTGCAGAATTAGTACAAAGCGTCATGTGGCACCACCATAAGCACCAAAAAGCACACATAACATCGATTTTTATCAAGACCATCACCATTTATCACTTTTTAAGAAGGCTATGGCACTCAAGTGATAGTCATTTCGCGGGAAACAGAGCGTTTCAGATTTGCTTACATCCTGTACAATGGCAAGAACTTCTCTTCGCGCTTCATTCGGCACCGAGCAAGGGGCGTGACTTGTTGAGTGGGCGGGATCCTGCTCCCTGTGAGTTCTTACTGCCCGCACTGAGGATCTTACAAGGAGAGAAATGGAATGGAATGTGACGATTAAGGTTTCTATGTGGGGGGGGGGGGGCGAAAATCCGAAAGCTGATTCAAATTGATCCAAAAATTGAATTTAAATTTATTTTGTTAATTCAATTTTTTTATTTGATTATTATTTTCATTTATTATTCTTAATTTATATTAATTAAACTGATGTAAAAATAGTAGAAGAACTATTATATATCACTATTCCATCACCCACCTTTAGGAGGCGGTGTAACAATGGGAACTTCGGTGACTGGATCGGTGCCGCTGTCGTCTCGTATAATGTATTCGTGAATATTTTCGCCGCTTTCCACATCTGTTTTGCCACCCATACATGTGCTACAACCGTAGATTTCGCATATCTTACGGTAATCGTTTGGTGTGGCGTCTTTTGAACGACCGATTACATCCTGAAATTCAGAAAAATCGGATAGTAGTCATTTTTCATGCTCATTTGATCACTTCAACAAATCTGACGAAGTAGCTTTGCAAAATGAGTTTATTGAACTGGTGCTTTTCATTGGAAAAAATACAGCTTTTATACGACAAGTAGACAAAAAACACGGCCTATAATCCAAAACAATACCTTGACTTACCGTAGGGACGACATGCGACAAATGGGGGGGGGGGGGTTGAGCGCTCGACATTTGTCGTGGAAGGTATCGAATACCTACCCGCATTCAAATGCCGGACAAGAAACCGCTAAAAGGAATTTCCTTTTTTCTCTCATGTTTTCCTCGCCACAAAAATTATGGGTTTTCCGTATGCCAAAAAATCTGAATAGCTCTACCATAAAGGGAAAGCCAGCAAAAGCGAAAATGTGTGGCACGGACTAACCCGCCGAACGGTGGAACCGTCGGCCTCTGAAGACAACGATTCAGTCGAAACCTTAGGCCATTTGAACAAAATTTCCATCAACCATTAACTCGTACGGTACAAACGACAATGAATTACACTACAACGAACATGCCGAGTTGCCCAAGAGAGATTCTGGAGAATTGAGGCTTCCATTTTTTGATATAGGAAGTGTCTAGAAGACCCTGGACACCGAGAAAGAATACGGAATGGCAGGTGAAAGAGCATAGAGAATGAGTGAGACACAGACACGATCGCACTCGCAAAAGTGAGGCGTAAAAATAAGAGGGGGTATACCATTGCATAAACTCTTAGCTAAAAACTGGCACTGTCTGCGCTTGCCGACCCTATTACACTCACGGAAGGGACTGTTCCAGTCACAATGATCTCAGAATATTTCGAAGGAAAAAGAACTAAAACAAACTTCAGCATGGACGATCATTTAATGATCACCATTTGTGGACAATTACAAGAAATGGTACAGGCATTAGGTTCTGAATAATACCCATATACAATGTAGAAAGTTAATATAATAACCTTCTTAATAAGTGCCCTAACCAACAAATTTGAATAAATACCTGGAATTTGGGGTCAGTCGTTTTCATGCTGATTCGTCCCGGATAAGCAAACGCTTTCTTTCCATAGTGCATTACCGACCGGTAGTCATACGGTACGCCATATGTGGTGGCTTCGCTTGTTGTAACCTTCTCGAACTGACTCCAGTAGTCTAAAGAGGAGAATCAGCGAAAGAGAGTCAGTAATGAGTAAATTATTCGCCGGGTCTTTCCCTGGTGGACTGCGTGCGAAAATATAAGCAGGATGCACCGCCATTGGTCCTCAGCTGCCTTTGGCATGACCCACTTGGCTCAACTACCTTGTTCTAATCAGATTTATTTGCTTATAGTCGCCGCTAGATGCCCACCTTCTCCCGCAACCCTTTTTTTCATTGAAAAGGAAGAAATGAGGGAAATGGAGTAGTTACATCACGAAATCTGATCAACGAAGCTCCATTTGATGGGAACTGACCAGAGAATGTTAGAGCCCTCTCACCCTCTGAATGAAATCACTGGTCCCCTTTCCTCTTCATTTTCTCACAAATCCAGGCGTGATTGGAGTTTCGCTGGAGTACATCAAAATAAAGAAAGCTCTTATGATTCCGACAGCACTTGCAATGGGTCTGTCGTCGCGCGTTAATCACCTGGGGCAATAGGCCTGCATGAAAGTATACTAACTTGAGTACGGCCAACCACTGCAATGGTTGTTCATCTAAAAGCGAACGGCATGAAAAGCGGAGTCACGGAAAAACGAAACGTAAAAGGGGTAAAGCGAGTGGTAGAGCAAGGATAGGGAAACGGACCAACACCTCTGTTTCCTGTTTTCACAGTAGGATTTTCCCTCTGTCACGACTCATATCAGGATGCGTATCAGGCAATTGATTCTCTGCAGGCCTCGTTACTAGAACGGTTTAGTCGACGGCGAGGGACCAGTTGCTGGGAATACCGATCATTGGGCGGTAGAGGCGTAGACAAGAAAAAACCCTAGCAAGCTACGGCACGCCCTTGACCCGAAAAGCCTCACGTTTCTGTTCCTTGGGGTACGAAATCCACATTTGCCCCACGTGCCTTGTGCCTTGAAAGCCAGGGATTCGTTCGTATTGGTGAGGTGGGGGACAACCCACGAACGCCATTACTTTTCCAGCTTAGACCCATGCCAGCCACTGAACCCGCCCTCAAATCGAAGTAAACCCCTCTTTCATAAAAACTTAGTGAACGAATACACGAATTCAATACGGAAAGCTTATGAGCACTTCAAATGGGGAAGTTGCCTTTTATCCTTGATGCTCTTGTTTTGATTGTCAACATTGGACTCGATGCGAGTGAATACGTAAGATGCTCAGAAGCGCAAAACACATTTCTTCTTGAGGATAAGAGTACAGATCCTGTGATGAAAACCACTTGAGGTATATTACTAACAATAACTTTTATGTATTGTCCCGATCAGATCGCATATCGATTCAATGCACAAGAGCCAAATCACGGTGCATCAAGCTTCGTGATAGGACGATCTCTGGCTCAATCATCTGAATGTAAATATAATCTACTAAGCTACTACTTATAACGTTCATAATTATTCTTCCCGAAAAGGGATAGTTATGCCATTAGTGCTGCTGTATGAGGTGGGCGGAGCATAGATTATGGGCGGAGCACCGCCCACTATCAGAGAACTTTAACACTTTCTCTAAGAAATGTATGACCCTTTGGAAAGCCCATTTTCGATTTTGCAACGCCCATATCTCGAAAGAACTCGCTTTGGAAGAGCGGGAGGGGAGAATTCTCGGGACACGTAAGCGCAAAAGTGTTGTTGATGGGGGGCAGTACAAGAACAGCCAGAAGAGTAATCGAACATAATACAAGCAGTAAGGTAAACCTACGTTTCTTGAAATTCGCCGCAGCATCGACACCACGGCCGCCCTACACGCCCGACAATTAGATGTAGCATCTGAAATCAGGTCATTTTGCATAGTGGAGCAGATCCTAATCATTGCAAGGCGACATCTGACAATGCGGGCACATGAAAGCTACTTCATAGACGTCATCAGCTCATGAGTTTGGGAGGCGGTTTGACCACAACATTGAGAGCCATGAGTGTAGCAGTGGTGGAGACGTCACACTTCACCAATAATATCTTCAAACTAGCTTAGCCCCTCAGCCATGGCACTCGCCACCTTTAAGGTCGTTATTCATGAATATCTGTCGTTGGACTCACCCCTCACCCCTCTGGTTTTGGATATCGATGTAGTCTCGTTCTGTTGTTCGTGGCTTGAAACGGATACAAGTATTTTTATGGATTCTCTTCATTGCCTCTGCTATCGTGGCCTTTTCACTTGAATCTGGAAAAGAAATTGATTTTGGAGGGTACTAAAAAAGAAAATGAACATAAATATAGATCACTCCACGCTGATCATTTGATTTCTTGGGTGCGCCAAGCAATCCGCTTCCCTTGGATTTCGTAGCGGCAGTTGTATATTATTTGTACTACACAATGAGTTGCGATAGACAGACGGTCAGCGTTTCTGTCCTTTCAGAAAAGTCCAATATTGATTCACCGACGCCGGGGGTATGGAAGGACATGAGTACCTATCACTGATCTGGTATGTGACCCCAGGACCGGGGGCATGGTAAGCGGATCAGACAATTATGAGCACGAAAATCCGTGATAGTGCACATAGATGAACCTAGAACCTTTTCCAGCCGTCTGAATAGATCCTGTCGTTCTTGATCGCTCCTAGCTGTTTCAAAAATGAATTCGCACCTTCACGGTCGGCGCAATGGAAAATGGTGCCGTTTGCAGCTGCACTACTGACTGTTAGAAGACATGCCCCAGAGGCGTGGAAGCCATAGCACCCCAAATCTTCTACGAACTTTGGAGGGTAGCTGGGTAAAGGTTGCTTTGAGTGGTGCAAAGGAGTTGCAAGTTGTCGCAAGTGCACGTAGCATTTGAGAGTCATAGTTTCATGGCAAAAGTTTACTCTACCCCTCGTAGGACTCGTCAAACGCGAGAACCCCTCTCAGCTCCTTTGAGCTTCTGAAGGCGTGATCGTACCCTTCGCTCAGATTGAAGAGTTCGGTATTATTCCCAGGCAAGCACCTGTAATGCTAAGGATAGACGGAGTTACTCTGATTGATAGACTGCATAGGGTTCGTCTTCAAATAGCACCTTCACCCAGCTACCCGCCAAAGTTCCATGGGGAGACAAAAGCCTTTCCTGGTCAGTGTTGTACTGCACTATGAACTGTGATCAAAGCCAATTGGAAACAGTCTCTCGGCAGAATATCCCACTAAAAACAACCGTTCGCAAACGGTTTATTCTCACTCAATCGTGTTAATCGGCTTACACTCACACCCCTATTTCTACAGTTTACCACATTTTTCACCGACATGGAGTTGTTTGAGTTGGGTGGATTACCTATGTGGGAATTACCGCATTATTGGGAGCAGGTTCGTCTGAAGGAAGGGGCGGAACGAAACATTTTAATTACTTTTATAATGGTTTTTTTCTTTCTTAATAGGTACCTTTGGAGGAGGAAAGTGAACCATGAGAAGAAGTTCAAGCTAATGAGCGCTTATAGTCTCGCCTGTCGATTTTCACGGTTTTTACCGCGGTGTAGTTACCCTTTAAACTTACCAGTATATGGCATTTACTACCGTCTGGATTAGAGCGGCAAATAGCGGTTTCGGTTGCTCGAGTATCACAACTTTTCGCTCGAAAGGAAAATACACATACTTACACAAACAACGTCAAAAATTTGTTTACTTAGAAGCTTATGGAATTTACCCGGTTTATTTTCAAGGGCCATCATGCGACCGTATTCTACCAGCAGGTTAGGGAATCAAACACTTGGATTGTTACGAAAAGCTGAAAGCTATGAAATATCTTCAATTGAGGCAAATAAGTGCGGCATTTGTATAATAACTTTGCACGAATCGATTTACAGCAGCAGGAGTTATTAGAAGAACTGGAAGCATACGGAGCAGTGATCAGCTGGAGACATTACAGGGGGGGGGGGGCCAAAAAAAAAGACATTTTGCCTCCACTTCCAGATGGATTTAAGCACATTTTACTCAACTCAGACCGAACGGTTCCAACTTATTATTAAAGAGTGCATTCCATTCTATAAGAAAATCTTCATAGTGGCCACGTACGTGGACGGCATCAGAAGAATTAGCCCTGGAAACATGGTGCACTGGTCGATCTCAATGGGGTCTTCGAAGGATCGTGTACCATAACGACCCTTACTGGAAAGCTAGTTCCGAGGGGATTTGCACAGTGGTAGCTAATGCCTCTAGAAAACTATCCAACATTAAATCGATTCACGAAATTGCGTAAGAGCTTCAGGCTGAAGCTCTTACGGTAGACCTCCTTGAGCCTGACGACGGTGACAGATGACGTCATATTCTGAAGACGGTGAGGGCAGTGAAGGAGAGCCTGCGTACACTAATAGAGGAACACTTAGGGAATACTCTGCTGAGGAACTCCCGTCAACGACAGCAATCTCTGCGAAGAAAAAAGAGCCGAAGTCCGACATAGGCAAAATGTCTTTTTTTTTTGGCCCCCCTGTACTGCAAATCAGCGTATTCGCGAGGGGCACGTAGCGATTGGCCAGCGGGTTTCAAGCTAGCACCAGCGATCAAGTCTACGACGGCGGTTCGAAACGATGTGATAGCGACGACAAGTGTTGAATAGGTGTTGAAAAGTGGCAGGAAGCCCCTTTCGTCACAGTTGACTCTCGCCACTTTCCCATGCTCACGTGGTCATGAGAGAGAAAATTTCATGAAAGCCCGGGAAAGTGGCGAGAATCATTGTGCAAAGCGAGGAGGGGTGTTCAGCCCTTTTTAAAACACTGTCGATTGGGTGGTACATTCTGTCAAGCGCTGGTTGCATCGCTCGTGCCCGCGATTTCTAGCAATTCGCAGGGTTTGCAAAGTCCGACACCAGCCCTACGCACAGCCTGTCGCTCGAATATTAACAAATCAGCTTACCATATCGTCCTGTAACAATATACGGTATGGTGTAGGTCCCTTCTTCTCCTTTATATTGCCATTTAAGATTAGAATATCTGTGTAGAGCATTATACATACGCCTGGAAATAAAAAGAATAGACAATTAATAACTACGTCTACTTGAACATCTTTTTGGAATCATTGAAGTTTATGACTGTTTATGTAGAGAAAAGAAAATACACTTGGATCGTTACAGTATGAGTGTGCATTCAGAACAGAAGTACCATAGCCTTTGATTATCAAAAAATTTTCTTGATTTATGATGGTTTCAGAAGGAAGGATAATCAGCTGGCTCTTTCCAGCATACTTGTTAAAAAGTTCCAACTACTCTGCAACTCCTTCTTCTGGCGAAATTGGGGTTGTGTAGGTCTGCAGGGGGGGGCGCGGTGGCGCAATGTCATTGCGGTTGTACTGAAGTACCCCTCATTTTTGAACCACGCCCTGCAAATTATTTTGGGACTGAGGGATTAAAGCAACAGTTCAGGGAGGGTCCGAAAATTTCAATGCCACTACTACTGAGGGATACACGAGCCCTAGTGAAGAACATATGCAGTGGAAATAATAAACGAACTTACCTCAGAAACTCAAAAACAGGGTGGAAAGTCCTCAAACATGGGGGTGTTCTTGGGGATTTCCCCAATCCCGCCCCCTTGCCGGCCGTCATTGGACGCGTCGGCAATCGTGCTCGTTTTGGGACCACAGGGAAAATTGATTGAAAAATGGAGCGCGTTTACAGCGGGCACGTTCAGACAACTCGTCCAACGTGCGTCTTTATCCATTGCTGAGCGGCAGAGGGAGAGTACCTGTCTAAGACCCTCCCCGACGTTTTTTTCCAGTTTTTCATACATTAATCGTCTGGTTTTCATCTACAACTTCATTATTGGTGGTTTTTTCCCGCGAAACCGTTCCTGAACTGTTGCTTTAAGGGGAAT